CAAAATACAAGACTAATAGCATGATAAAGTATGTATGCAATGAAGGAACTTAGAGATTACAGTAGAGGCTTTCGCTATATCGCAAGGTATTCAACCGAGAGAAAAAGCACATAAAAGAGAGTTGTCTTATGGCGTCCCCTACAGACCCTTTTATAGCGTTCAATGGTTTGTGAACATGCACGGACTTGTAAAGTCCCAACTTTTGCCGCGATACTGTATCTAGACGCCCTTTAATCTATTAGGTCGCGCCTTCCGCGACATAGAGGGTGATGTACCCCCTACTACCGTTAGTTCGTCGTCCTCCAAGGTTCGCTGCTGTAAGAGTTTATCAGAGCAGGTTAAGGCATCAGTAGACCACGTACACCCCTCACGTGGTTAGGGTCCTTGCTATCCAACGACTTTTTATTTCTCCATAACTAAAGATTTAAGAGGTTCTGAGTTACAGATGTCACAGCCTGTTCATGGTGGTGGTACGGTCTTCACTGATGTCAAATCGACCGTGATGCCAACAAAGGTTATTTTTGTGACCTTAATTTCAGATTTTTATTTTTTTTGAGTTTTTTTCAGTGACTTCCGTGATAAGAAATGGCTGGAGTATACTGCTCAAAGGAGGTATTAAAAATAGAAAGAAAGGGGGGGGGGGGGGGGGGAGGTGATGAAAGCGATCATGTCGTTGAAGCATCGGTTTGGAGCTCAACGATTGGCAGTGGAAATGATCATATATGTACTCTAATGTAATTCCTTCCAAAGTCCTAACCTCCTCCTCGTGCACCACAGTGGATGTGTCGTTTCCTAACTTCACCCCTAATAAGATGTCGTATCTTGTTGGTGAAGCATCGCAATCGAACCGTATTTGGCATCCACTCCCGACAGGATCGAATTCTAAAGACTAAGAATTCGCATCGGTTGTCGTTGAAACCATAAATCCATCGAAATGGAAAGAAAGAAAAGATGACGACAACGTATAGACCAGAAATATAAACGAAGGGATCGGTCATTATGGCCATTAGAGCGAATGTTCCAGAGGTTCTAAAGAGAGTGTGTAAAGTGTCAATGGTTCTTCTTGAGCGATATCTTGACTTTTCAAAGAACATCGTCGTAATCAGAAAAGGACCGGTTTGGTATATCAGAAATTTCATAACCAAAGCGTCTTTCCGTTCATAGTAACGCCCCCATAGTATTGCCCCTACTTAGCCTCCAACTTCTCTGTTACATTGACCTCGGCATGATTGTTGTGACTAGAATATTCTTGTGCTGTGCGAGGTTGTTAGGTGGAACAATTTATCAAGTCAACGGCCTATCGTTCCGACGTTATCATCTTCTTGAAAGGCCTAAAGCAACACGAGACTATTTGCACAGTATCCAAAACGCGTTACCTCTTCTGGCAGATGTAACGACGAATTCAGAACTCAATATTCGAAGCCCAACTCACCATGGTTCCACCGCTCAAGCGGATATAATAAAATCCGCTATCGCCACAGGCGACTGTCAATAGCGAAGGAGACTTTTTGGCTGTCTCCCTTATACTTGTGATAAGGAAGATCACGTTATGATGCTACTGAGTCACAAGTCGCAGTGCGGTATATAGGGCAAAAGATCGTTGGTTATGGACGGACACTCATCTCTACCGTTCATTTAAGGATTTCTTTAGAAAATCTAGAACGCCTCCAATCCCTTTCTCGCTGAAATCTCCGTCTCCTGCACAAATATCGGGCTCCATAGTAAATGCTCCTATTTACCTGCAATATTTGATTCTTCAGAATGATGCACTGTTCTGGTACAACCTTTACAAACACGGAGATGGTGATTCAAGGACACGCCATGCAGCTTGCCCAGTTCTTGTCGGAGTGAAATGGGTATGATTGCCATTGATTGGATTGATTCAACTACACCCTCTACGCCATTAAAGAGGTTATGTTTCCCAGGTCTCAAACAAATGGATTCACGAGCGAGGGAACGAGTTCCGTCGTCGATGCGGCATAAAAATGTCGGACTACGAACGGTATGCCACCAGCGGCCAGTCTCATGTCGTCCTCCAGTAATCGCTCTAATTTTTGCTCTTTCAGATTCGTCGGAGATCTTGGTTTCGGTCCAGAGCCAAGAGTTGCTCCGAATCTCAGTCCGATCCTATCTAAGGACATATTCAACACTATCTAACGGCTCTAAATATTGCTCAACGTGGTTCTTTTCTTTTTTCTTTCATCGTTTTCCTTTTTCTTCTGTGGTTTTCTCGGGTGGTGACTACTTGTTCACACGAATGCCTTGCCAAACGGTTCATTGCCATTTGTTGAATTCTCTTTCATTACTATTTACCGCCAGATAGTTTATTTGGTTTATCTTGCCATTATCATTGTTATTGTACCCCCCTTTGAGAGCAGCATAATGCCCCAGCACTCACGGGCTAATTCCGTACCATGTTATATTGTTTTGGCACTTTGCCATAATGTCACTCGTCGTTATTGTGAATTATTTTTTACACGTCTATCATATATTACAGATACATTTTATTATATTATTGAAAACGTCGAAGAATGGTACGGTTCGAATAGCCCAGTGGGTGCTACTTGAAACTTACCTCCTACATAGAGAGGGTGTGGTTAGCACTGCTTGGTGTTAGAGGCGTTCGGACAAAAAATCCTTTGAAATCACAAAATCTCAGCTCAAAGCCAATATTTGGCGACTTGCTGGTTGTTTCAGATGCTGCTCTCATGGTACAGAAAGCCTCCGAGGGGCTGGCTGGGAAACATTCAGTCAAATTGTGCAGGACAGCCATTAGCATATTTATGACGAATTCGCTTTCAATTATTGGCATTTACGTCCCAAAAGCTATCGCTACCTCTCAAACGATTCCCTAGAATTGTTACTTCCATTTTAGTTTCACTAGGTAGCATTATGTGTATCAATTGGTTCGTGGCCAATGGAGAAACGTTGGGTAATAATCTCCGCATCAGTGAAATGCCTCAATTTGCCAATTTCCCTCGATAATGTTTTAGGTTGAGTGAAATGTCCGTTTCGATACTGTTTCAACTTACGACCCTCTTTACAACAGAGTTTTTTTAGCAGAACTTTTACTACGTCCAGTTGTCCTTGACCTACTCGCTAGTTACGGACACCGCTTCCCCAAAGTTGATGTAACCTTTGCTAGAACGACTGGAGATCTGTTTTGAGATGTTTACGCTTAGTCTTCCTCTAACCGTTCCGGAATTAAGTAAGCGCACCAAACTAGTGACCGTCGGACGGTGTGAGGGTGGGAATGAGATGGTGTGGGAGTACCCGACATTAAGCTTCTGCGTAGTTCTTATATATGTGAACGTTTCGTGCAGTACGAAAACTCACCCGTGAGCGTAGGTTCAGACTTATGACGCGTTGAAAATACATTCTGCGGTAGAAGGTCAAGTTTGAGATGGGTTGGGCACAGGACAAAAACTATGGCGAGTGTGGTGCTTTAGGAACGAAATGGTCGCGTCGCGGTGNGGGAATGAGATGGTGTGGGAGTACCCGACATTAAGCTTCTGCGTAGTTCTTACATATGTGAACGTTTCGTGCAGCACGAAAACTCACCCGTGAGCGTAGGCTCAGACTTAGGAGGCGTTGAGAGTATATTCCACCGTAGAAGGTCGAGTTTGAGATGGGTTGGGCACAGGACAAAAACTAGGGCGAGTGTGGTGCATTAGGAACGAGGGGGTGAGAGGGGTGTCGCGCGCGAAGAAATGTTGCAGGATGCAGCAGTAGGTAAGAAATAAAAGAGCAAAAGTACTAATGGTAGAATTATGCATAAAATAATGATCGCATATCGGTTGAGCTGTATGAAGAACGCTAGAGCTGTAATAACGGCGAATGAGTGGTCCGCGACAGCCGCGTGCGGCGAATCGACTACCCAAAATCGTTCCTAACGCCCGTCTCCCCTATAGGGCACACATTAGTTCAGGGGTGGAACACGTACCCGATTATACTCTATGAGGGGAATGGCTTAATGTTGGCTCCTCTGTGCTCACTTGTATAACCATAGGCCCCAATTCACAGTGGGTGTGCACTGCCGTGAAACTCGCTTCACTGTGTTTTCTACACTTAGGGTAGTTCAGAAAAATCAGTAAACAGCCTGCCGTTGCAATTTGAAGGTTTTTTTTTCAAATGCTTCAGGTATTGCCCCCATAAAATCGATGGCAAGAAAGATGAAGTGATAATATCCTTGCACTCAGTTGATTGGGTTTCATAGATGGCGATGATTCGAACTCGGCAACCAGAAAACTATTGAACACTCAAGAAGCTTTACGCTTCGATGAACTCGAATAGGATAATTTTGATGTTTTTTTATCATTTTTTTTTATCAAACTAAGGAGAAACTAAGAAATAAACAAGACCTTTATTTGTTTCCGTTGAAATGCAAGTTGTATAGGCTTGCTAGGACGTGGTTACTGTGGCCTTAAGTTGGCAAGGTATTCGTTAAGGACCTTGCGTCACACTACTTAGCGACAGCCGTTTTTCAAAAAAACCACCCAAACGGATAAAAGGGCGACGGTTCGCGGTCGTTGAGATCGCCCTGTTTTTAAGTTCCCTACTTCCGGGGCCAGTGTATAAGCCGTTCAATATTTCTTATGTAATTTCTAATGCTCAGCCATGCAGTGCTCCTTTGTACCGTACCCAAAACGTCTGAGTGAGGTATTAGGTTTGCCGGTCTTGCTGACAAGTTTGATCAAAAAGTTCCAATTTTTTCTGTAATCCACTCCACATACAGTAGCGCTCAAAAGTCTTCGGTGGAATACTTTGACGCTTTTTCGTTCATTGCTTTTTTGCTAGTAAACCAAATCGCGCAAAATTTGGATATGTTTAACTAGTGCATATTTCATCCTGCCCAACACTATTTGACTGCGACCCTGCAATATCCACAGATAGAGCAAGGTGTTTGTTACGGTAGCAGATTTTGCTAAAGGTAAAGTTATTGACATATGCATTTATTCGCACCTCATGTGCGTTTTTCTCATCTATTGTGTTCGGCATTACCGCTCGTACACTTCAGACATGACAAAAAGGAAAGAGATTCCAGAAGGACCATCATCTGTATTTTCAGTCGATTTTGAGTTCATGCTTTTTGGAATATCTGGAACATGATCAGATCGCAAGTTCATAGTGATAAATATTCACAGTACACCCACGCTCCAAATATAAAAATTTCGCATGACTAGATCCAGTAGGAAAGGAGTTACGACAGAAAAGTACGGCTGAAGAACCATTTCACCGAAGACTCTTGAGCGCTACTGTATGTCGCCCTCCCGCTCTTCGCCATCATACGAAGATCGGCTAGTCTTACATTATATTCGAACAACGCATTCTCCGCGAATTGTAGGTGAATTATGAGATGTTACACGCTGTGCTACTTGCGAGCTTTCCTGTAGGATGGTGTCAAAAGGCCCGCTATCACACGCATGGTTGGGGAAAGGCAACAGTCCGGGAAGACCAAATCTTCTACTTCTCCGGGTTTGATTTATTAGTGTTAGGCTCGTTTGGGAAAATGAAAGCACTTCTTCGTACTTCGTTTAGTTGTCAAAAGTCCATCAATAGGTCACATACGCCATTCAAAATGCTAATACGCTAAATGTAAGTTGGATGTGTGGGCGCATTCCCAGGTAGGTTCAGATAAAACTGGAAGACTTTCATTTTTCGATGGCTCGGGCCAAAACTGCATTGAGGGAAACGGCTTGAGCTCTTTTTACTTCAAATTATTTCTTCAGCTTTGATTTTCAGTCAATACAGACAGATTTGTATCATCCTCAGGGTTCGAGCTACACAGGCTTAACCTCACTATTTTCACCGTGATCGCTCCAGATGTCACGAAATTTCCAAATCATATAACCTAATCGTAAGAGGATTATAAAGTAGAGTGCCCAATCTTGTAATGATCCGTTATGTGACCTAGTTCAAGGAATCAATAAAAAAGAAGGGAGAAGTATTGAACACCTACGGGGATTCTTGTCGGCAATTGATCAGCAAAAGTAAGGCTAAGTGATCTGTAGCTTTCACTACTGTAGGCAAGTGAATAGCTGAGCTAATGGGAACGGTAGGAATGGTGACTAACTTAATAACCCTTTTCAAAATCAAAGAATGCTCTCATGAGACTTTCAGAAAACAAATTATTCTAAAATTGAACAACTCCGAATCATATTTTGCACTTTTTCATAATTTCTGCTCGTTTTCTGTGCTAGAATTTCGAGAAGCCGGTAGGAAAAACACCTAATTCGTTGAAATCTGCAAGTTGCTTGAAGTTTATAGAGTTTTGTGACTTCGTGAAGACCTCTCTCATGGATGAATAGTCATGGGGATGGTAAGTGGCTCTTCCACCATAATATTAGCAACTTCAAAGCTTAGCTGTTAGTGAAAGAAACGATGCTTGAAATTTAATGAGTTTGGTGGCACAGCTCACCATAAAAATGATTTCTGACATTTCTCCATCGTATAAATTCGAGGCCCCTCCTTATACCACAACTGCCGATATACTGTCGGAAAACGTCCTGTATAAAGGGCCAGAGATTATATCGTGTGAATGCCACACCCTATGTGGACGAGTTTTAACGGCATTGTAGAGGCTGCGCCAGTCACAAAGGAACTGATGTAGGTGGTTCAAACAACTTGTCATGACCCATAACGACAACCAAAGGCGAATCTGGAAGTTTTGGCTTGATGTTGTCAGCCTTTGCGCAACGGTAGCAACTGAAACTCGTCCGAATTCCCTTGCCATGTCACTTCCGCCATGGTAATCTGTACAAACTCTGCTTCTACCATTTGTGAGAAGCCTTATTGTGAGAAGCCCCAAAATTATCGTGAACTGTGCCTTCAACACTAACTAGAACGTTCAAACTTGAAATGTAAAGTTCTTGTTGCTGAGGAAGGCCACATAGCCAAGAGGGCATTGTTCGGGTTAGGGATTGTATGGAGGTGAGCCTATATCTTTACAAATGTAATGTAAAACCTCCAGAACTGTGCTTTTTATGAGCATTTACCATGATACCAGTTCTATCTACAAATATGAAGGATAATGTCGTTAGCAGTAGTCAACCCCTTTTTTTGGAATGCACCCCCGCATTCGACTTCCACTCGCAATCAGAGTAGTACTAGTTATAATGCGTCGTGCTTATACAATGAACTAGCCGGACCGCCCGGCTAACGTCGGGCTCTCCTTCTTTCCCTGTTGGCTTGGCCTGTTATCCAAGTCCCTTCCAAATTTGGACGCTCTGGTGAAGTCCCACAGGAGGCATAGAGTTCCAGCCAAGCACACACACACACCCCTGGTGAGCGCCTCGCCTGTTATGAGCGAAGTCCTGCTCTCCGTTCATTCCTTTTTCAACTTGATTGCGCAATTCAGTCACTTTCTAACACATACAATCGATAGTTCCACACTGCGACCTATAGCGATATCGAATTTGATAGATCAACTATTTTAAAGCGCGCCCCGCCCCCTGTGGGCGGAGTTCCCATACTGCTGCCAGTACTCCTACCGAATCTGAACGCCCTAGGTCTGAATTTAAAAAACTTCGTTGGCTTTCCGCTCCCTGTGAGCGAAGTCCTTCCACTTAGTTCTGTTCCCATACTTTTGTTTCCCGTCAGTGTTCCCATACTGCCGCCTGTATTTCTACCGAATTTGATGGCTTCAGTTTTAAGAGAACAAGAGCTATGAAATTCAAGTCAAACACACACCACACATAAATACCAATGCAATGGGCACTGGAAGAGTCGAAACGTGGTGTTACCGCAGCAAAACCCCTTTAAGGCACCGTTCACAAAAAAGTTAGAGTACCCTTTTTTGACGGGAATTGATAGAACTACTCTAGAATAAAGCGATAACAACGAAAAAAGCGCAAAAAAGATGAACAAAAAGAAATAGAAAGGGTCAAAAAAAGAGCTGGAAAGGGGGTTGGACTAGTCTCACATTGAAATAACGGCGGTTAGGGAGTGGTCGGGCGAGAATGCACGAAGGCGACGCAGTGTCTGCAATACAGACAACACACCCAAACAGCTGATCGGATTTCTCCCGGGGGACGGTACGAACGTGCGTCCGAGGGTGCGCGCGGCAAATAACGCGGCGAAGTCCGTGACGATTTGTATGACTCTGACGCCAATTTTCGGGGCACAATCTCTAAGTAGAGTGGTTTATTAGGGTCAGATGATCCTCCTGATCCACTCTATTTCAAATTTGGGCCCCAATGATAGGCGCCAAACTCGTTCGAACCATTACGAACTTCGCCGCGCAATTTGCCGCGCGCCTCCTCAGACGCACGTTCGTACACATACCCGATTTCTCCCTGCTATTATTATCTCCCTGAAATACTTTCCTCATCCATTCGACGACGGCAGGAAGGGAATACTTAGAAGAGAATAGCGCAGAGTAATAGTAGAATAATAGAAATAACAGCTGAATACTAGCTCCTGTACGAGGCGGTCGACCAGCTGACCATTCCTGGCAATTTGCCAATCGGCGTATCGATTTTTCACCAACTCTGCTCCAGTGCGAATGTGGTGAAGGACAATTTGAACTCGTAGTCGGCCTAGCGAGGGGCGGAGGCCTGACGTCCCCCACTGTTCCTGCCCTTATTGTGCCCTATCCAACCGTTTTCCGACCTCATTCCTGCACAAATGATATCAGAGGGGGCTTCGAATTCAAACCATGTGTAAATCTCCGAAACCATTTTTTCGTGAACAGTGCCTTTAATAAAGAAAAGCTCTATGATCCCCAACTCTCCTAATCGATCCAGGGTCTGTATTATGTGAGAAAGCGAAGGAGCGAGACCAATGTTTTATCGAAGCAGTCCTTGATATGAGATTGCAATCATCACGAAGAACTGAAAATTCACCTTACTCTAGTCGTTTCCAATAGCCATTCGAGAACCGAGGACACCAGTTCTATATATACGAAAGTCTTCAACAGTCTTCTATTGCCAGCTATATTTGAATGTATCATAGTCAGTGGGAAAACAATTTAGCACTACATCCACTCTTTTCCCCCAAGTTCATCGACCCATTTTGGGCTGGAATTATGAGAAGTCTGCAAAAATAGATAGATCTTCAGATCTTCAATTTATTCTTTTCGACGATATTCGTGAAAATTTTCAACTCCGATCCTCTTCCATCCCTGTAAGTGAGTGACCAGCTACTAAAAAATGATTTTCTAGTGTAATCGTTATTGTGGGACTTGATGACCATGAGAGGCGGGCAGTAGTATCGGTTTTGTGTAATCGATTAGCCGCACGCGGCATTTTCGCCGTTGTTACAGCTCTAGCGTTCTTCACACAGCTCAATTGAAATGCGATCATTATTCTAGGCATGATTCCACTCTTTGTCCTTTTGTTCCTGTATTTCTTACTTGCTGATGCATTCTGCTACATTCCTTCACACGCGGCACCCCTCTCGCCGCGTCGCGACAACTTCGGTCCTACTGCACCACACCCGATGGCCATGCATTACTCTATTTGTGACCACTTCGCAGTCGCTAATCGTTTTTGACACCTATGAGCCTTCTTTTGTGAAATAAGTGGGCATTTCTTCTTACACAATGACTCCTCGATCTGTAAATACTTCAAGGTACATCGAGTACATTTAAGGTGGCTTGAGGCAATATTCCCTCAAACTTTCAGTGTTTCGAATTTTTTATTCGATCATTCGATCAGGGGGGAAGCCAGTTACTGCGTGCTTCCGTTCCTGCCATGATGGCAGACAACGTCAGTGGTTTCTATTTCGATTCGTGCTCTCTGTTTTGTTTTTTGTTTTGTTTTTGATTTGGCACCGTTCTTTCTCATGTTGAAGCTGAGTTTGCTATCAGACGTCGTCGTGTCATCTTCCGCGCTCGTTGGAACATACACTTTATTTTTCATGGATACCCAGCTGTCCATTTCAGGATGCAGCTCGTGTTAGGCCTTTTGGCCTTACTGCTCGTTTCCGTCAAGGCAGATGTGTTCACCTCCATTGCTGATGTGCAAAATCTGATCAACTCTGAAAGAAACATCCCACAGATCCTCACCAAATATATTGAAAGTGAGGAAGATCGCCTAGAACATCTTAAAGTGTAAGCCGTCTTTGCGTATTGTAACCGTGTGGAACTGTTGGAATTTACCTGCATTCAGTCTGATCAGGAAATACGAAAAACAGAATGAGGAAGCTACGAAGACAGACGTCAAAGACCTCCTCAATCCAATCAATGCCTTCCTATTTATTAAAAAGAAGGTGAGCCTTGGGTGATGTCTAATGGCCGTGCTTGCCCATGTGATTCAAATCCCAGAAGGTCCCATTCGTTGCAGATATTCGATTGGAAGGGTATCGAGAAAGCGATGACGATGAACAAAGCTGATACATTCCTTGAGCGCGTTGCCAATCAGGACCAAACGTTCCGCTATCCAACTGAGGTAATCGCTCTGGCGATTTGCATCTACGTGGTCTCATGATCTCCGTGTTTCTTACTTCGAAAGTATTATGACATCATTTTGTTTGATGTTTTGTTAACTGCTGTTGTACCGCCGCAGTACGCGATGCGAAAGTCTCACAGGGCTGGCGAGTTATGGAAGAAACTTCGGCCTCAGACTGGACTCGAACCCGTACTTGTGTTATACGAGCACCGTGCTCTTATCCATTACACTATCGATACCCCGTTTGACCTCGCTTTCTTTATAGTTGGGGTTACGGTTTATGGCTGATATTGGCTATGGCATAAGGGCCTTTGAAGAGGAGGGTAAGGGATTGAAAGGATGTGCTGGAAACAGAGTACAAACAAAAATTTTTATGCTTGGAAGGCAATAGATGTCGAAATGAATTGGGAGACTGATTTTGCCCAGAGAGAGTCTCATTGCTCACCGCTAATAATGGGACTTCTGAAATCTGAATAAGATGGGAAAGGACCGCAGAAACTAGGTAATCAGTCACCACCCATTGAACTTCCTCTCTTTCGATTGGGGTCTTCTTGTAATTTTTGAGACCAGGAAATAGATTGGTTCAAAGTTTCTACTATCGAAGTCCTACCCTATATAGCAGAATAACAACGATCACAAATGAAAAGGGTAAAAAGTCAGGAAGTGAAGCGTCATAATAAAATGATGTCAGCTCCACATTACTTAACTCTCACTTCCACGATTAAATTTCAAAAGTTAGGGGATTCAACTTCGACCTGGCCGAAGACATTGCATAGTGTGAGGACGCTCGCGACGGAGTATAATTACACATATATAATAGTACAGATGCAGTCACAAATATGCATATATGTATATGATGTAGAGGGAAGGTGCATAACGGTCTGCTCCGTTGTCGAATCGGTTGTACTTTCCCATGGAGCTTGTTCGTCGGGCAGAATGAAGACGTCCTGAGCCCGACGCCATCGAAGCGAACGGCATCGGTCGCCTACTGTCTTTCGCAGTACCTTCTACCCAGCCGTAAGCGTTCGAGCAGCCTGTAATTTCATTTCATTTCATTTCATTTCATTTCATTTATTGACGCAGAC